GCCTCCTCTCATGCTGCTGCCAGGTCCACAGTGTCTCATGGGTCCCTGTACGGCCTCCCATTGCTGCTGTCTCCATCGCCACACTCTGCCATGTGCCACTTTCAGGTCTCCTCACACACTGCTGGTGTGTTCCATTTTTTGTCATAGGGTGCTGGCAGATTACGGGCCTCCCATAGCTGCTGCCAGGCCCCTAATCTGCCATGGGCCCCTGTACCGCCTCCTCATGCTGCTGCCATGCTGCTCATGGGCCAGGTCCACAGTGTGTCTCCATCGCCACGTCATGCCATGTGCCACTTTCAGGTCTCCTCACACTGCTGGTGTGTTCCATTTTTTGTCATAGAGTGCTGGCAGATTACGGGCCTCCCATTGCTGCTGCCAGGCCCCTAATCTGCCATGGGCCCCTGTACCGCCTCCTCATGCTGCTGCCAGGTCCACAGTGTCTCATGGGTCCCTGTACGGCCTCCCATTGCTGCTGTCTCCATCGCCACACTCTGCCATGTGCCATGTGCCACTTTCAGGTCTCCTCACACACTGCTGGTGTGTTCCATTTTTTGTCATAGGGTGCTGGCAGATTACGGGCCTCCCATTGCTGCTGCCAGGCCCCTAATCTGCCATGGGCCCCTGTACCGCCTCCTCATGCTGCTGCCAGGCCATCCACAGTGTCTCATGGGTCCCTGTACGGCCTCCCATTGCTGCTGTCTCCATCGCCACACTCTGCCATGTGCCACTTTCAGGTCTCCTCACACTGCTGGTGTGTTCCATTTTTTGTCATAGGGTGCTGGCAGATTACGGGCCTCCCATTGCATTGCTGCTGCCAGGCCCCTAATCTGCCATGGGCCCCTGTACCGCCTCCTCATGCTGCTGCCAGGTCCAGAGTGTCTCATGGGTCCCTGTACGGCCTCCCATTGCTGCTGTCTCCATCGCCACACTCTGCCATGTGCCACTTTCAGGTCTCCTCACACTGCTGGTGTGTTCCATTTTTTGTCATAGGGTGCTGGCAGATTACGGGCCTCCCATTGCTGCTGCCAGGCCCCTAATCTGCCATGGGCCCCTGTACCGCCTCCTCATGCTGCTGCCAGGTCCACAGTGTCTCATGGGTCCCTGTACGGCCTCCCATTGCTGCTGTCTCCATCGCCACACTCTGCCATGTGCCACTTTCAGGTCTCCTCACACACTGCTGGTGTGTTCCATTTTTTGTCATAGGGTGCTGGCAGATTACGGGCCTCCATAGCTGCTGCCAGGCCCCTAATCTGCCATGGGCCCCTGTACCGCCTCCTCATGCTGCTGTCCAGGTCTCTCCACATTGTGTGTCTCCATGCCATGTGCCACTTTCAGGTCTCCTCACACTGCTGCTGGTGTGTTCCATTTTTTGTCATAGAGTGCTGGCAGATTACGGGCCTCCCATTGCTGCTGCCAGGCCCCTAATCTGCCATGGGCCCCTGTACCGCCTCCTCATGCTGCTGCCAGGTCCCAGTGTCTCATGGGTCCCTGTACGGCCTCCCATTGCTGCTGTCTCCATCGCCACACTCTGCCATGTGCCACTTTCAGGTCTCCTCACACACTGCTGGTGTGTTCCATTTTTTGTCATAGGGTGCTGGCAGATTACGGGCCTCCCATTGCTGCTGCCAGGCCCCTAATCTGCCATGGGCCCCTGTACCGCCTCCTCATGCTGCTGCCAGGTCCACAGTCTCTCATGGGTCCCTGTACGGCCTCCCATTGCTGCTGTCTCCATCGCCACACACACTCTGCCATGTGCCACTTTCAGGTCTCCTCACACTGCTGGTGTGTTCCATTTTTTGTCATAGGGTGCTGGCAGATTACGGGCCTCCCATTGCTGCTGCCAGCCCCTAATCTGCCATGGGCCCCTGTACCGCCTCCTCATGCTGCTGCCAGGTCCACAGTGTCTCATGGGTCCCTGTACGGCCTCCCATTGCTGCTGTCTCCATCGCCACACTCTGCCATGTGCCACTTTCAGGTCTCCACACACTGCTGGTGTGTTTCCATTTTTTGTCATAGGGTGCTGGCAGATTACGGGCCTCCCATTGCTGCTGCCAGGCCCCTAATCTGCCATGGGCCCCTGTACCGCCTCCTCATGCTGCTGCCAGGTCCAGAGTGTCTCATGGGTCCCTGTACGGCCTCCCATTGCTGCTGTCTCCATCGCCACACTCTGCCATGTGCCACTTTCAGGTCTCCTCACACACTGCTGGTGTGTTCCATTTTTTGTCATAGGGTGCTGGCAGATTACGGGCCTCCCATAGCTGCTGCCAGGCCCCCCTAATCTGCCATGGGCCCCTGTACCGCCTCCTCATGCTGCTGCCAGGTCCACAGTGTCTCATGCCTCCCATTGCTGCTGTCTCTTGCCCATGCCAATTGCCACACTCTGCCATGTGCCACTTTCAGGTCTCCTCACACTGCTGGTGTGTTCCATTTTTTGTCATAGGGTGCTGGCAGATTACGGGCCTCCCATTGCTGCTGCCAGGCCCCTAATCTGCCATGGGCCCCTGTACCGCCTCCTCATGCTGCTGCCAGGTCCACAGTGTCTCATGGGTCCCTGTACGGCCTCCCATTGCTGCTGCTGTCTCCATCGCCACACTCTGCCATGTGCCACTTTCAGGTCTCCTCACACACTGCTGGTGTGTTCCATTTTTTGTCATAGGGTGCTGGCAGATTACGGGCCTCCCATTGCTGCTGCCAGGCCCCTAATCTGCCATGGGCCCCTGTACCGCCTCCTCATGCTGCTGCCAGGTCCAGAGTGTCTCATGGGTCCCTGTACGGCCTCCCATTGCTGCTGTCTCCATCGCCACACTCTGCCATGTGCCACTTTCAGGTCTCCTCACACACTGCTGGTGTGTTCCATTTTTTGTCATAGGGTGCTGGCAGATTACGGGCCTCCCATTGCTGCTGCCAGGCCCCGTAATCTGCCATGGGCCCCTGTACCGCCTCCTCATGCTGCTGCCAGGTCCAGAGTCTCTCATGGGTCCCTGTACGGCCTCCCATTGCTGCTGCTCTCCATCGCCACACTCTGCCATGTGCCACTTTCAGGTCTCCTCACACACTGCTGGTGTGTTCCATTTTTTGTCATAGGGTGCTGGCAGAGATTACGGGCCTCCCATGCTGCTGCCAGGCCCCTAATCTGCCATGGGCCCCTGTACCGCCTCCTCATGCTGCTGCCAGGTCCACAGTCTCTCATGGGTCCCTGTACGGCCTCCCATTGCTGCTGTCTCCATCGCCACACTCTGCCATGTGCCACTTTCAGGTCTCCTCACACTGCTGGTGTGTTCCATTTTTTGTCATATAGGGTGCTGGCAGATTACGGGCCTCCCATTGCTGCTGCCAGGCCCCTAATCTGCCATGGGCCCCCTGTACCGCCTCCTCATGCTGCCAGGTCCACAGTGTCTCATGGGTCCCTGTACGGCCTCCCATTGCTGCTCTCCATCGCCACACTCTGCCATGTGCCACTTTCAGGTCTCCTCACACACTGCTGGTGTGTTCCATTTTTTGTCATAGGGTGCTGGCAGATTACGGGCCTCCCATTGCTGCTGCCAGGCCCCTAATCTGCCATGGGCCCCTGTACCGCCTCCTCATGCTGCTGCCAGGTCCAGAGTCTCTCATGGGTCCCTGTACGGCCTCCCATTGCTGCTGTCTCCATCGCCACACTCTGCCATGTGCCACTTTCAGGTCTCCTCACACACTGCTGGTGTTCCATTTTTTGTCATAGGGTGCTGGCAGATTACGGGCCTCCCATAGCTGCTGCCAGGCCCCTAATCTGCCATGGGCCCCTGTACCGCCTCCTCATGCTGCTGCCAGGTCCCAGTGTCTCATGGGTCCCTGTACGGCCTCCCATTGCTGCTGTCTCCATCGCCACTTTGCCATGTGCCACTTTCAGGTCTCCTCACACTGCTGGTGTGTTCATTTTTTGTCATAGAGTGCTGGCAGATTACGGGCCTCCCATTGCTGCTGCCAGGCCCCTAATCTGCCATGGGCCCCTGTACCGCCTCCTCATGCTGCTGCCAGGTCCACAGTGTCTCATGGGTCCCTGTGTACGGCCTCCCATTGCTGCTGTCTCCATCGCCACACTCTGCCATGTGCCACTTTCAGGTCTCCTCACACACTGCTGGTGTGTTCCATTTTTTTGTCATAGGGTGCTGGCAGATTACGGGCCTCCCATTGCTGCTGCCAGGCCCCTAATCTGCCATGGGCCCCTGTACCGCCTCCTCATGCTGCTGCCAGGTCCAGAGTCTCTCATGGGTCCCTGTACGGCCTCCCATTGCTGCTGTCTCCATCGCCACACTCTGCCATGTGCCACTTTCAGGTCTCCTCACACACTGCTGGTGTGTTCCATTTTTTTGTCATAGGGTGCTGGCAGATTACGGGCCTCCCATTGCTGCTGCCAGGCCCCTAATCTGCCATGGGCCCCTGTACCGCCTCCTCCTCATGCTGCTGCCAGGTCCAGAGTCTCTCATGGGTCCCTGTACGGCCTCCCATTGCTGCTGTCTCCATCGCCACACTCTGCCATGTGCCACTTTCAGGTCTCCTCACACACTGCTGGTGTGTTCCATTTTTTGTCATAGGGTGCTGGCAGATTACGGGCCTCCCATAGCTGCTGCCAGGCCCCTAATCTGCCATGGGCCCCTGTACCGCCTCCTCATGCTGCTGCCAGGTCCACAGTGTGTCATGCCATGTGCCACTTTCAGGTCTCCTCACACTGCTGGTGTGTTCCATTTTTTTGTCATAGGTGCTGGCAGATTACGGGCCTCCCATTGCTGCTGCCAGGCCCCTAATCTGCCATGGGCCCCTGTACCGCCTCCTCATGCTGCTGCCAGGTCCACAGTGTCTCATGGGTCCCTGTACGGCCTCCCATTGCTGCTGTCTCCATCGCCACACTCTGCCATGTGCCACTTTCAGGTCTCCTCACACACTGCTGGTGTGTTCCATTTTTTGTCATAGGGTGCTGGCAGATTACGGGCCTCCCATTGCTGCTGCCAGGCCCCTAATCTGCCATGGGCCCCTGTACCGCCTCCTCATGCTGCTGCCAGGTCCACAGTGTCTCTCATGGGTCCCTGTACGGCCTCCTCCCATTGCTGCTGTCTCCATCGCCACACTCTGCCATGTGCCACTTTCAGGTCTCCTCACACACTGCTGGTGTGTTCCATTTTTTTTTGTCATAGGGTGCTGGCAGATTACGGGCCTCCCATAGCTGCTGCCAGGCCCCTAATCTGCCATGGGCCCCTGTACCGCCTCCTCATTGCTGCTGCTGCCAGGTCCACAGTGTGTCATGCCATGTGCCACTTTCAGGTCTCCTCACACTGCTGGTGTGTTCCATTTTGTCATAGAGTGCTGGCAGATTACGGGCCTCCCATTGCTGCTGCCAGGCCCCTAATCTGCCATGGGCCCCTGTACCGCCTCCTCTCATGCTGCTGCCAGGTCCAGAGTCTCTCATGGGTCCCTGTACGGCCTCCCATTGCTGCTGTCTCCATCGCCACACTCTGCCATGTGCCACTTTCAGGTCTCCTCACACTGCTGGTGTGTTCCATTTTTTGTCATAGGGTGCTGGCAGATTACGGGCCTCCCATTGCTGCTGCTGCCAGGCCCCTAATCTGCCATGGGCCCCTGTACCGCCTCCTCATGCTGCTGCCAGGTCCAGAGTGTCTCATGGGTCCCTGTACGGCCCCCATTGCTGCTGTCTCCATCGCCACACTCTGCCATGTGCCACTTTCAGGTCTCCTCACACACTGCTGGTGTGTTCCATTTTTTGTCATAGGGTGCTGGCAGATTACGGGCCCTCCCATAGCTGCTGCCAGGCCCCTAATCTGCCATGGGCCCCTGTACCGCCTCCTCATGCTGCTGCCAGGTCCACAGTCTCTCATGGGTCCCTGTACGGCCTCCCCATGTGCCACTTTCAGGTCTCCTCACACTGCTGGTGTGTTCCATTTTTTTGTCATAGGGTGCTGGCAGATTACGGGCCTCCCATTGCTGCTGTCCCAGGCCCCTAATCTGCCATGGGCCCCCGTACCGACCTCCTCATGCTGCTGCCAGTTCCACAGAGTCTCCTCATGGGTCCCTGTACGGCCTCCCATTGCTGCTGTCTCCATCGCCACTACTCTGCCTTCCGTGTGCCACTTTCAGTTCTCCTCACCAGGTTTCCATTTTGCGAGTCATAGGGTGCTGGCAGATTACGGGCCTCCCATTGCTGCTGCCAGGCCCGTAATCTGCCATTGGGCCCCTGTACCGCCTCCTCATGCTGCTGCCAGGTCCAGAGTGTGTCATGGTCCCTGTACGCCCTCCCATTGCTGCGTCTCCATGGCAGTCCCACTCTGCCATGCCGGGCCCCCTGTACCGGCCGTCCTCATGCAGCTGCCAGGTCCAGAGTGTAGTCCCATGGGTCCCTGTACGGCCTCCCATTCCTGCTGTCTCCCCCCAATCGCC